GCCCTGGCTAAGGCAGGAGGAGCGTGGCACTGCCCCAGTTCCCGCGCAAGTTCTCCCGGAGGCAGACGTCCCCAGTTCAGCGTCCTCCTCGGCCTGGCCATCGTCTCAGAGACCCTTGTTCCTGACTCCTAGAAACTCACGGGCTGTCTCTGTTCCCCCTGCACTCTGTAAGGTTTCTGTTCAACACACGTGGGTAGATCCAACGGAAGAGAAAAGTGCTACGCAAATATTCCTTAAAAAGACGGCCGACAGCCACACCCCCGGGCGCAGCGCCTCTCCTGGGACAGACGCACCCTCCAAAGCTATCCGGTCAGCCCCCAACTGTCCGCGATTCTCGCCATTTCCTTAAGCAGAAGAGAAGATGCGGCCGGAAGCCAAACACCAGACGCGAACCAGTGAGCAAACCCGGCACAGAGACGGGAAAAAACCGTCACAGCTGCGAAGCGCACGTGGTTTGGGGGGAACGGGCTCCTAAAGGGAATTCAGGAACAAGGTCAGAAAGGCGTCTCCTCCGGAAAAGAAACCGAGGCATAGCACGCGTCGGGTTCCAGCGACCGGTGAGAACCCTCCTGGAAGCAGCGCGCGGCGGGTTCGAAACACGCTCCTGCAGAGCTCACGCGAAGCCCAAGGCCACTGCCCGTCGCGTTATATCCGACGGCGTCTGGATAACGGGACAGTCTCGGGGCTGGCAGGGAGCACGCTGTGCCCGGGAGCCCGCTGGCTAAGGTTTACGACCTTGGTAACAAAACTCCTTCCCGCTTTTAAGTCTTGAGCAGATGACCAGGCCACAAAAGCCACAAACTATGACGAATGGGCCTCACCGACAGAATCTAGTTAGTGGCCCGGGAAGGACCGGCCGTTCCACCCCAGTCCCCTCAGCTCACGCCGGCCCCCAGCCCCGTGGCCGGGGGTTCCTCCCGCCACCCACTCCCCAGTCTCTCCTGCGGACAGTCGTCATTAACCCTACTTCGCACGCGAAAGACAGGCTCGGCGGCGGGGNGCGAGCCCGCCTCTCCCGCCTCACGCCCTGCACCAAGCTCCCGAAACGTCTTCCACAAGTCACACGTTCAGAAAACCAGGCATAAAGGGACAAGGGAAATGGCTTTTTTAACGTTTGATTTTGAATATCTGCGACAAGCATAAATAAAGGGAAATCATCCCAGGCCGAGAGTTCCTGACACAAGAGCAAAATACATACAAAATGCGAAATGTCTGACGCTTTCCCCAATAAAAACTTCTTTTTAAAGGAAGTAAACGAGAGCGTGTGCGCATGTGCATCTTTCTCAGGAGGAAACCACAGCTTTCATCAGGTTGCAAAGTAAAGGCACGTCTTTTGGTTTATTTTCTCTCATGCCTTATAGTGTTTTTCATACAGTTCTTACAAATGCCTTCAGTAAAATAAACGTTTCGTCCATATATAGGGTGTGCCCCAAAAATATACACACACACACACGCTGAGTAATTATAAAGGCAGTGTTTAGTAAAATACATGGCATTTTCAGAACTGAGCTATCGGCCGTTACAGTGCGCATACATTTTTTTTGGGACACCCTGTATACCTATTTTTAAACTATTATAAAAATAACCTTTTTTCCCCCCTTTATATATTATTCTAACTTGCCACTGATAATATAGCTAATCGTTTTTTTAAATAATTTAAATTTTTTTCAAGTGGTTGGCTTTTTAATTTAAATTTAATTATTAATTACAACTTTATCAATTATGTCCAGGTTCAATTTTGCCTTTTTTCACTTACTAAGGCGTCCTCGGGCCTCGTATATCATCGATTTATACACACAACACACACAGATGAACAAACACTGGAAACAACGTACCACGGTGAGGGGGCCGCTGAATAAACTGTGGTACAGCCGCATGACAGCCTATCGTAAGTCACTGGAGATAATGTTTTTTGAGGCCACTTGAATATATAGCAAAATGCTCATGACATAAAAAAAAAGCTACAAACCTAGACGGCAGCCCCACGCTGGTGTGGACACTCGCTACGCGGGCCCCGGGCCTCATCACGTGCACGCCCACGGCGCTGGGCCTCGAGAGAACCGCCGCCGGGCCTGGCCGCCCAGGCCTCGGTGCCACGCCACGCGGCAGGGCTTTCCCCCTCGGGCCACCAGGCTGTTCCCTACACCAGGTGAAGCTCGCAGACCCTCAGCTGCAAATAAGATGACACAATTCTGTCAACAATGCAGCGGGTCAGAGATGCATGACGTGTGTTTCGTTTTCAGTGGTGCAACTTGAAAGGACGAGGTGGGTCACGTGCAGGCCACGGCTATGCCCAGACAGTCCCGTTCGGACAGCGGCCCTCTGTCCCTCTCTCTGTAGCTTCAGGCCGCACGGCTCACAGGTGCCCCAGCTGAGCTGCGGGCTGGGACACGCCAGAGGTTACCCGTCCCCTACCCAGGAGACGCAGGCCCAGCTCTCAGAGAAGGCAATGCCCCCTCCTCCTCTCTGCCTGCAATGCCCGCAGGCCAGGCCCTGCCTAGAGACCCGAGGGCTATGCCCTAGCACCGCTGACTGACGGCCTGCCCCTTGCCAAGGAGAGTCAACGCAGCCTGAAAAGCTTGCTTTGGTTTCCTCATCCAGCAAGCCTGTGTTCCCCGCAAAGCGCCCGGTGGGTTGGAGGAAAAGACTGTGCTTCAGAGCCTCCATGAGGATGGGAAACTGGTCTTTCCCCAGTAGTAACATAGCACCGTGCTTAGCAACTAAGGTTGCTCCAAAGATCAAGTGAAACAACAGATGGGAAAGCGTTTCTGAGAACTCCACAGTGACCCGAGACCTAAGAGGAAGAAGACTGTGTTTAAATAAATAATTATACGCAACGTAACCTTGAATCACAACCTGTGCTTCTGTACCATGTTCATGGACTGGAAGACTCGGCATTATTAAGGTATCAGTTCTCCCCAGGCTGTGCTACAGACGAATGCAGGCCATTTAAAATCCTAGCCGGCTGGCTGTTCTGGTAGAAATCGGCAAGCTGGCTCTAAAATTTCATGGATAAGCAAAGAAACTAAAACAGTCAGGAAGTGGACCCACACGTATATGGTCAAGTGATTGTCCACAAAATTGTCAAAGGCAACTCAGCAAGGAAAGAAAAGTTTTCTCGACAAATGGCGCCGGGACAGGTCAACATCCTTATGCAGAAAGGGCGGCCCTCAACCTACACTTTGTACTTTGTAAACAAGTTAACTTGAAGTTACTTACCTCTAATACCCAAAACTATACAACTTCTAGAAGAACACATAGGGAAGAAAGCTTCTTGACCCTGAGTTAAGCAAAGAATTCTTAGAAAAGACACAAAAGACACAGACCAAAACAGAGCAGAATGATAAATTGGACTTCATCAAAATTAAAAACATCTGCTCCTCACGACTTTAGTTAAGAAAAGGAAGAGACGAGCCAGGGGCTGGGAGAAAACATCTGCAAAATACGTATCAGATAAGGGAATGGTAGCCAAGATATATAAAGAATTCTCACGGCTCACTCAGAAGGAAACGGGCAGCTCAGTTTAAAAACGGGGCAAAAGATCTGAAGAGGCATTTCACCAGAGATACAAGAGTGTCAGAAAAGCACAGAGAAAGGTGCCCCACGCCACCAGTCATCAAGAAAACGCAATGAAATAGCACCACTCATGCGTTAGAATGACCGAAACTTTAAAAAACGAAATACCACCACCTCACGCCCACTAGGATGACTATACAAAAATAAAATAAAATAAAATCGCAGAAAGTCACACGTGTCGGTGCGGATGTGGGGAAATGGGAACCCTTGCACGCTGTTGGTGGGAACGTAAAACGGTAAAGGAACCGTGGGCGACGGTTTGGAAGTTCCCCAAAAAAAAATCAAAAATAGAATTACCGTGTAGCCCAGCCATCGCTCTTCCGGGCGCACACAGAAGAACCGAAATCATGTCCCGGGAGAGGTATTTACGCCCCCGTGTGCACAGCAGCACATTCGCAACAGCCAAGAAGTGGAAGCGACCGTCCCCCGCTGGATGAATGGATACACAAAATGCGGTTTATACGTAGACTGGAGTATCACGCGGCCTTAAAAAGGAAGGACATCCTGCCAGGTGCTACAACATGGACGAGCCTTGAGGACACTATGCTAAAAACAGCCGGTCGGGAGGAGACGGGCGCTGCACCATTTCACACGGCGAGGTACCCGGAGGGGTCGGGGTCGCAGAGACTGAAAAGCAGAGCGGCGGGCGCCAGAGGCCGGGGGTGGGCGTTGTTATTTAACGGGTACAGAATTTCAGTTCTGTAAGATACAAGAACTTCTGGAGATTGGTTGTGCAACGATGTGAATATATATATATTTTTAAATTGACTTGAGGGGGGGGGAGGGGGGAGAGCGGG